TGTGTGTGTGTGTGTGTGTGTGTGTGTGTGTGTGTGTGTGTAAATAACATAGTAGCATTATGCTGTCTTAAATCCGCTTTTATTCGAATTCTGTTTAACCAAATTAACGTATGCACTCAATTTTTTAATGTACCCGACAGCGGATTTTACGTCCCCATCAGCACTATTCAAATCAATTAGAAATCAGGGTTCCGACCCTGCCTGTCAGAGCCTGAGCTGGGCGGGATACAACATCCCAGTAGAACGACCGAGATACTCGATTTTTATAAAAAATATACCCATTTGGGAATTGAATTCGGGTCTCCTGCATGCTACAGCGAAGCGCCTAACCGATACATCACAAACGCCGGTTTCCGCACTCGGTGATGAAAGGTGTATTCTCAAGTTGAACACATCATGTACACATAATAAATGATACATGTATAAGCAAAACGTTGCTGCATTTGTCCATGGACTCAAACAGTGGGGCTTCGTGGTGAAACCAGGTGCTAGTCAAAATAATGAAATCAAAGAAATCTGCATTTTTAAGGCCTCTGGGAATTTTCTTTTTAATGTTTTAATTTTTGGGTTTTGTTGTTGTTGTTGTTGTTGTTGTTGTTGTTTTTGTTGTTGTTGTTGTTGTTTGTTTGTTTTGGGGTGGGGTTTTTTAGGGGGGGGGGTTAGGGCTCGAGAACTCTTAATTCCATTTAAAAACGCGTTTATCTGTGGATTGTTACTGAGAAACGATCAAAAGCACAAAAACTATTATTTTGCAGTTTCCAAGGACACTCAAGCTGAGGAAGTCATCAAACTTTGGAGGCTATTTTCTCGCTAAATTTACCTCTGAAACCAGGTGACCCTTACCTCCTTCATTCGCAAATTTCTTGAATTCTATTCAGTGAATAATTTTTAATCAAATGCAAGACAAATGAACTAAAATGTAAGATGATACCAATAACTCCACATAGCCGAATAACTGACGAGTGCCTGCTGTGATTCCACCACGTCGTAATACTGTCTTAGTCCTAATATTCTGTTGGTCTCATGTATTAGGCAAAGATTATTGCACGAATCAAAATCAAAGGTCTTGTAGGTTTCATGATGATGAAGCAGTCAGATTATTTTTTCTGGGTGAAAAACGAAATTGAGAATTAGGGAAGTTGAATTATGGAACAATCCGGGTAAAATATGTCATAGACAAGACAATCGTCAGACATAAAGTATACAATGTTGAACTTTTTGTGTACAGTACACCGAGACTATAAATAAACATTATCTTTAAGAGCTAAACGATACAAAGAATTCATATCAAACATTTTTACCCAAACTTGAATCTAGATTTTTAAAGATTTTTCCACTTCGAAGTATCTAAGACACAGATGACTTCACTCTGCTAAAGATAGCCACCAAAGCTATCATATTACTTATTTTTACTGTTTCATCTTTCTCACCTATTTCATTCACTTTAAACTCTTTTGTCACACTGATAGTCAAGTTGACAACTGTGTTGGTAACACCCACTTCCACAAAGTAGTACGTTGCAGCCCTGAAACTGTCTGCATCCCAGAGTGCATTTGTGTAATTCAGTTGTGGACAAGGATGATCAAACCTGAAGAAAGGTAAGTGGTCAATAAAATATTGAAGGGAATAAGTCGTATCATTTTTCTTACAACACTTTAGACACAAACACACACATACATTAGGCCTAATACATTTTATATATGTGTGTTTTTCTATACACACGCATTCATTATACAAAAGTGTGTTTGTGCGTGCATATGTGCGCGCGCGCGCGCGCGCGTGTGTATGTGTGTGTGTGTGTGTGTGTGTGTGTGTGTGTGTGTGTGTGTGTGTGTGTGAGTGAGTGTGAAAGTGATAAAGAGGTCCCTGTGCGATATGGTTATAATAAATCTAATAAATACAGAACAACCGAGTTCGATTCTCGAGTGTTTGGTGTTTCAAATAGTGTTAAGGTGAAAAAACAGAAAATTTTGATTTTTTCCCCAACCACGGGGCAGAATTTTTACTATCTTAGTTTTCATTAAGTTTAGGTCTGTGTTTACTTCAAACCGCTTCAATATTTGATCATTGTCACCCAAAAGAGACGGTACTTTTAACTCAAAATCAGAAACATCAAGCCACGGCATACTCCGCTTGCTGCTGTTGCGAGGACATTCAACGTCAACAGAAGGACTATCAGCCAACTGAGACAAAGGTCCCTTGCGATTTGGACTTTTCAAAACCGACCCAGATGTGGCCGTCCAAGGGTAACAGTGTCAGCTCAAGACCGATAGATCTAGATCTACATCGGGAGAGTGCATCTGAGAAATCGTTTCCGGACAGGCGCGCTTACACCGCAAGACAATTTCCAGGACTTTCGGTCGTCAGCCGGCATACTGATCGTCGTCGCAAATGAGGGTTGGGTAATCTCCCTCGTCTTGTTAACGCTCTACACCAACGAGTCAGCGACTGTACTTTTGATAGCAAAAACCTTAAACTAATAAAATTTGCGGATGATTCCACTCTACAAGGCCCGAAAACAACAAATGAGAATGAATGCAGGGGCGTTGTAAATGTATTTACAAATTGATGTGATAACCGCTTCCTTTTACTAAATGTAAAAAAGATAAAGGAATGAACAATAGACTTTAGAGAAAAAGAACACCAATTGCAACCACTATCTATTAAAGATGAGGAGGTGGAGGTTGTAAGCTCTTACAAGTATCTTGGTATAATAGTTGATAACAAACTTGAATGGCATCCCCGCCCTATTCTTGTGCATAAAAAAAGGAAATCATAGAATGTTCCTTTTAAGGAAATTAAGAAGTTTCCATGTCGATAATAAGAATATGCCCCTTCTATAGCCTACCATTCTATGAGTGAAAGCGTGCTATTATTTTTTTTCTGCTGGACTGGGAATTGTAGGGTTAAAGATAAAGACAAATTTGACAGAACCAAAGCCAGCAAGATCTCTGGATATGATTTTACTAGAATTGACGAAATGTATAACACCACAAATACAAAAATGGATTTTAAAAAAGCATTATAAACGACCCATCACACCCCCTTTCCACGCAAATTGTCAGATCACGCAGCGGCAGATATGTACCTCTCAAACCAAAGAAAGAGAGATATAAAAGATTTTTTTTACCATCCAGCAAAAGACTATTATCAGAATAAGCATACATGTACTGTTTAGAGTTTGTGTCTATATAACTCCAAAGGTCTTGTAATTAAATTTCTGCATGTGGTTGAATGATGCATCTGATGTGATATGTACATTTTGTCAGCTTTACTTCTCTTTTCGTATAGAAATTTAATGAGAGTATATATAATTTAAATTTCTATGTAGAACCTGCATGTGTTTTTACGGTCCTGTACAACCAAAAACAGTTTCCCTCTGGGATAGTAAAGTCTTATCTTATCTTATCTTATATGTGACTTTTGAATTTTACCCGTGTTGTCAAATTTGAGTCATAAAAGAGACATATTTGCAGAAAAATTCTTTCACCTTGATTTATCTGTCAAACATTTCATGTTTCATTTTCGTGGTCGAAAGAATCAATATTTTTCTACAGGAAAGCTGAACCAATAAAACGTATAGAGTGGTGCCTTTTTTACTATCAGCAGTATATTATTATAAATGTATGCATACTTTGTATCTGTTAACACCATGTAGTTACAATCCACTGAAATATCTTTGGGCTTCAGATACTCCTCTGGATGAGTCCAGCTACACTTCATGTATTCCGTCCAGTCATAAGCGAAGCATTCAAAATCTATCACTGCCTGAGGTCGGTCTGAGAAAAGGAAAGAAAAGTGAAATCAGTTCAGCATACTAAAAAAAAAACTTTCTTTCCGCATACGAACCGTATGACAACAGCTTAGCATGTTAATATCTAGCAATTAAAACTAATTTTTACAAACCATAAGTAACTTCACAATTTATCAGTTTATTTTGGGAAACACAATGACTGTTTGTATTTGTGCATACAATTGCAAGCTCACTGGTAAAAAAGCAAATAATATAATATTACACGCGGGTTGAAAATCTGACGGGCTGAACTTCTGACACTGCCACTGTCATGCGTGAGTCAAATAAATAACCAGTAAAATAATTAAACAAATGCACATGAACGCACGCACGCTCGCACGCATGCACGCACGCGCACACACACACATACACACTCACACATACATACATACATACACACATACATACATACACACATACATACATACATACATACA